CCGATCAGATCGGTCTCCTCCATTTTGTAGATTATTTACAACTTCCAACAGGAGTCATCTGGGGGGGCTCTTGAGAAAAAAGGTTGGGAACCCCTGCCCTGGATTACTTAGTCAGGTCCTAAAGCCGTCCGATGCAATATAATAAACAAAGGGTGTACAGTACCTGCACAGAAGATCCCAGGAACCAGACTGCAGATGATGACGCTGCGCACCTTGTTATTCTTCCTGATATCCTCCACGGCCTCAAGCATCTGGAAGACCAAAGCAACAGATACAGTCTCAAATGGTCTGAGGATTTAAATGTGAAACTCACTGTATTAACAAACAAAAGCGGAAAAAACCTTGAGATCTAACTTAACTAAAGCCCCACACACACACACACACACACACACACACACACACACACACACACACACACACACACACACACACACACACACACACACACACACACACACACACACACACTACGACTTTTGGTTAATCCAATAGATCTTGGTTAAATATATACGTTACATTAGTAAACTCTTAAAGAGCAATACATACCATATTGACCAGATTCTTGCTTATGGCATTTTTTGCTTTTGGTCGATTTATCCCAACGACAACAATACCTGAAAGCAGAGAGACATTACGCTGATTAGTAATTACACACAGAGGTAAAAACAACATAATGAAGAGCAGCATGTCGTCAAAAGAAAAAGGACATAAATCAAGGAATTCTCTTTTTTTGTACCAGTAGGTCGTTTGCTATTTTGAGTTCTTCATAGTCGATTGCACTTATTGTAAGTCGCCTTGGATAAAAGCATCATAAATGAAATATAATAGTATACCATACTGATAGAAGAGCTGAAGACATCAATAAAACTAATTTTTAGACCATATCTGCTAATTTAAAGCTCACAGAGACATCAATATGTTTCCCCAAATGTACACGTAGTTCCCATTGAGGGAAAGTGGTCTATTAATGGGACTATGAAGAGGCATAGAAGTTCTAGAAAATATTTATATAACTTTTTGGTGTGGGTTATTTCGACCATAAAGCCCTCAAGCTCAAAAAAAAAATGTACGTTATTGTCTTGTCCGGTTTGGCTTGTTTTGGTTTATTTATGTATTTGGTGTGTATGCACCTGGACCTTTCAGTTCATTGGAATATTTAAAAGACATTATTTGGTTTTTTGTCTGGGTCCTTCCTTCCTTCCTGTAGCTGTCAGTCTTTAAAACCACCACGGCCCCTGGTAGACCCCCACCACACATATAACAACAAAGACTATAAAACCTGTGTTGTGCAATACTACTTTTGTCCAATAATACTTATGTGAAATATATATACAGTATAAACCGCTTCATTCATATTATATTATTGCTGGCCCCCCACTTAGTTAGACAATTCAATACATCTTCTGAAATAAATCTGTAAATTGTAAATATTGTAACTCCTACTTTTATCTTGTATTTCTATGCATGCTTCTTAATTAATGATAAGCTATGTTTGACTATACTTGCTGTAAAATATGTAAATGTCCACTCTGTGGGACGAATAAAGGTTTTCTGATTCTGATTTTGTATGTGAATGTTTGGCTGCCTGTCACGTACAAAGATAACGTCATCGCGTACACTCTGCTTTGCTGTCAGACACCGGAATGGCTCCTTCGTGGCTCATTGTGGCTCTAAAAACCGTTTCACAGTCGGTTACCGTTTGCTATAACTCTTAACGGGACTAAGCACTTACATTGGACCGGGCAGAGTGACTCTGTGAGCGGACTTACCGGAGTCCTCTCCTTCCAAGTGCCTCACTAGGAGGTCCTCCTTCGGGTCCGAGCTGTAGTGTCGTGTCCCCGGGACAGAAGAGAGCCACCCGGTACCGGAGCAGACATGTGTTCTGCAGCCGGAGGAGGCTCCTACCAACCGGCACACACCTTGCAGCAGGGCTCGGTGTCCTGCTTGCACCGCCATGCTGAAGAAGAGCTGCAGTGTTGTGTTTGACTTTCAACTTTGACACAGTCACGTGGTGGCGTCACGTGACAGGGAGTCTGTAGCATGGTGAATACAAAACGGCTCTGGGTGAATAAAGGAAGTGGGAGAAATGCATTTTCAAATTATAAGATTAGGTTAATGACATGTATGTATTTTGCAAGGGATTTGAGTAATATATAAGAATATCTATGGTAAATATCTAGGCCACAGACTTATATCTAATTACAAGTACAAGTATTGCTTACGTGCAGAGGGGGAAAAGTATTCAGATTATTTACTGGAGTGCTAATACAGCACTGTGAAAATAAATGTCAAGTAGAAGTACTGCATGGAGAATGGTACTTAAGTTACAGTATTTAAATACTCTGAAGAAAATGTACTTTAAGTATTAGGAGTAAAAGTACTCATTGCAGAAAATATATTTGAATATTTTAAAGCAAAAGCAGCACATTTTCCTATTTAAGAAGCTGGATGGTGAAATATATTTTTGAACAGAACATCTTGATATCTTGAATGTTAATGTAGTTGTTTTATATATACCAAATAATCTTATTTTAAAGTTTTGAGGGTCAAAATCTGAATAAATAAAGTACAACATTTGCTTACAAAATGGAGTGGAGACGTTCAAGAGAGCTATCAAGGTGTTTGACAGAAAGCCTTATTCATATTCACCACTGTACCATCCTTGAAAAACACAATTTCTTGAGCTTTGACAATTTTAAGTCTTTTAAAAGTATGTGCTTTATTTATAAATGTTTACATGGACTGCCCCCCCCCCCCATTTAGGGGAATTCATCCACAAAAAACACACTGGACGCTGCACTAGGTCAGAAACCAGAGGAGACTGAAGTCCACCGTAGACGGACCACTTTTGGACAAAATGTCCTCTCGAGTCTCCATTAAAGGCAGCTCATTGTGGAATAGCCTCCCAACTGAGATACGGGATTGTCCCACTCTCAATAGTTTCAAAGGTCAACTCAAAGAATGGATGAAAAACAAACAGACGTGCAATCACAGCTGAATACACTTCAATACAGGGGTATCTCATCTTGCACTTTATATGTCGTTGCTGCTAGATATATTACCATGTCATAAATACTTGTGTATGCTGCTCTTGCTCTTTAGCACTTGTAGCATGTATTTTGTTTTTGCTGTTTGTAAAATGTAATCTTCTTAAATGTTGTATGTGAGGGACTGCGGATGGAAATGAGCTCAAAGCTAAATCACTGTTACGCTTGACACATTTTAATGTTTTAAGTGTTCATTACTGTGCATTGTCCCTGCCAAATACACGATTAAATAAATAAAATAAAGTAGTATAAAATGAAAATACTAAAGTACAAATATGCACTTGAATACAGTACTTGTGTGAATATACTTAGTTCCCACCACTGGCTCTGTGAAGTTTCTCATCTGTTCACAGACCACATGTATATGTATAATATTACAATAAACAGTGTTTTAATTTACTCTAAAATATAAAATTATACATTCAGTTTTATCTCATTCTACTTCACATATATAGTTTATTAAGTCCTTATCCCTGCATTGTACTTGCACCATAAGCCTCTTGCACTGATTAAACTGTGTTTTGCACTGTTGGAGGAGCCATGATGTATTGGAATATTTACACAGAAAAAAGAATACTCGATTCAGTGATTAGACATTTATTATGAACGAAACTCACCGTTACAATAAACCTTGAGAAAAGTGTTCAGATACAGAACTGGACTTCATCTGCATCGTGATTATCTTTTACTGGGAGATTCAGTAGGGCATTTCTTTAAAAACTAAAATACGGAATGCACTTGAACAAAAGAGAAGGTCAGGAGGTTTCTTTGTATCACCACCAAATATGAAAATTACAAAATGCATTCAATCGAGCGGATAACACACTGAATCTCTGGACACTCTTTGATCAAACAGATGTCAATTGATTGAGGATACATTGTGCTTATTCAGTAATTCAGTTCTCAGCTCCGTCAGAATCACAAATCTCCAGCCAGTTTCAAACACAGTCTCAGTTTAAACCACCTGTTGAATACAAATCCACTAAAAAACAAAAGAAAAAAGCGATTTGGCAAACAGTGAACCAGTGCAACAGAGCCTTTTTAAAATGCTTAGGTAAAAGCCCAGGTGTGTAACTTGTTATGCATATTCAAAAACTACAGCAGAGACAATGGAGAGTAACATATCCAAGATCTGATTGGTCAACCAGGAGGAGAGAGAGAACAGAAAGGCAGCATTTAGGGTCCTGATTGTTAGAAAGCTCCCTAAAAGAACGTTGAGGTTGGTACCAATTCTAGGGGAAATAGGGTGTCCTCTACTAAAAAAAACGACATTTAATTGGGTTGGTTTGTTTACAAAATCCGTAGCTTTGCATGTTCAGGTGTTCATATGGACCTAATTTGAATCATAGTCCATCTCTTTCCCCCATAATGAGTATCAAATTACAACATTTCTTTTAGGGAACGTCTTGGAAATTGTGCAGATAATTACAAACCAATAGAAAAAAGCATGGCACGATATTCACTCAAAGCAGAGGTAAGTAGACCTGGCACCACACCAGAATACAGATGGATCCAGTAACCATAACACCTCATTTGAAACAGCTTTAAAGCAAAGCAGAGCGCTAACGGGGGCTTATACCTCCATTATAGTGAAGGGCAGACCCAGTTAGTCAATTAGCCTTTGGTAAATGATTCTGTAACTTCTCATATAGTGGCAGGTAAACGTAATATCATGTTTTGTTAGGCTGTCAATGCTTGGTTTCCTTTAGGCACTTTACACTGACTAAAGAAGAGAGTCAGGTCATATCAATTCATCCCAGTCACTTTAACATGACGTTTTTTAGATTCCTGATCAAGCCACTCGCTAAAACTCAACCGATTTTTCACCATTAAAGCCTTCCAGCTACTTTGAGTTAATCAATTAGAAGGAAGCGTTGCGTTTCATTGACACAGAGTGGTTGGTGCTTCCAGATCCGTACCTGAAATCTGATTTGTGGGAAAATGCCGCCACTTCCAATGATGGCTATCTGAACAAAATGGTGGGAATTACGGCAGTTTTCTGGGATTTACTTAAAATAATGCTGTCTTTGGTTTGACTTGTTCTGTCATTTAAGATTTTTCCTTATTATATAAATACTTTTTCATTTGTTTTGGTAAAGAATGCCTAAAATACGGAGCTAGTTTCGTAATATATTATCAAAGAAAAGCTGGTTAAATAAAGTAATTGGGAAGGTCATTCAACGATGAAAAATTACTTATTTGAACCTAAGATACTTTTTCATATCAAATTTAAGGGGACCATTAGATTGTAAGGGTTGTAAAATTCCCAATTTTATTATTTGTATTTCTAAAGTTTTATTTGTCAACATAAAGTGATTTCAATTAAATTCTTTCTTTCTCTTTTGTCGTATTTAATGCCCTCATATCGATATTATATATATTTTTAAATGTAATTGATATATTCAATGTCTTGTCAGTTTTTATGTGTTCATTATTATTATTAGCATTTGTTATTTTTGAAAGTGGTGCTTTGTACATATACAATATTCAAAAAGTTGTATATGAACTTGAATGTTTTTTTTTAACGTTACAAATACAAAAAAAGAACCCTGTTATATCAGCACTAGATCAGAATTGCCGTAAAATGATCGCAGTGACAAAAAGTACCTAAAATGCGTTCATGCACAGAACAAATCTTGTCTCCGGTACGGATCAGGTAGTGGCAGTGGTCTGGAAAAGGTGAATGAAAGCAGTATTTGTATGAATATAGAAGTAAGTCGGGTGAACAGAATTCTTTGTACTGATGAAATGAATAACGGTGTGCTATTCTAGGCCTACATTATATTTGAATGTGACATTACAGTACAGGTAGCTCCTCCCGCTCCTCAATGTGTTTTTAATCTATCAACCTTACATTGTGCTCCAACATTTGAAAATCACCACATATCCAAACCCTGTTTAACCACACAGTGCAACAGCAAGTACAGTGGGAAGTATAGAAGACACTACGGTCATGCAGAGGAACAGCCTTTGGATATCGAGTCCATCAGAGACCCAGAGTGCTGTGCTTGGATCAGTCTTTTCAGAGCAGGCAGATAGGGGGGACCATGTCTCAGATACAAGTCCTCTGAGGGTGCATAGGAGCGGTCTTTAACCTCCGCGATGGGTTTGTTTTGCAGTGTGTCTGAGCTGCTTCTGTGCCACGGCTGCTGGTTCCAGGTCTGCATGTTGGTGACCTGGAGAGAAAGAGGGCAGGGGGACGACGGAGTGGAGAATGCTCCTTCTTCTGAGACTGCGACAGGGTACTCCGGGTTGATAGCCTCCACTTTAATCTGGATGCTTCTGGCTTTGATCCGCAGCTTGTGGGGCAAAGCTGAAGAACTGGCATCCGGCACTTTGTGTGTGGAGACGATGACGCTTCGTGGGTCGGCTGCAGACGGCGTTAAACCTTTGGGGACCTGTTGCTCATCCTCTCCGTCGGATGATTTACTAACAGCGCCATCTTCTGAGCTCCTGGGGGAGTTGCTGGAGGATCGGGTGAGATGTAGGAAGGCGGCGGCCTGCGGATAGACTCCAGAAAGAGGGCTGGTGATGTAGTTTCTGTACAGTTCGTAGGGGCTTCTTCTCTCTTGTGCGTTCTCTGCTGGTTCTTTCTTGACCCCTTGAGTCTCGGGCATGTGAGGTGAATGCTTGATGACCGATATGCAGCTGCTGCGCGAGTGAAGAGGCTCCAAAACCCTGCTGGAAGAACTTTGGCTGGCGCTGGGTGGGACTACTTCCTGGTAGACGTTGATATTGCTGGAGCTGGATAAGTTCTGGACTTCTTGGGAATACGCTGCCAGACTCACCAGGCCGAACTTCAGCTTCAGGGACAGCAGCTCGGCCTTCAGGGAGGTGTTCTCCTCTCCCAGGGCCATCAGCTTGTTCTCCAGCACCATGTCGTTGATGCGCCGCTTCTCCCTGGAGCGTTTGGCCGCTTCGTTGTTTTTGCGGCGCCTCTCCCAGTACATGGTGTCCTTCTTCTCCTCTGGGATGAACTCTCTTTTCCTGCGACAGGAAGTTTTGAAGGGAATGCCAGAGATTTTGTGGCCCGTCACGTCTCCGTTCGCCAGGACCAGAGCATCGTCTCCACTGTAGGCCTCGCTGTCCACCTCTTGCTTGATTGATTGCATATTTTAACTGTTGGCTAATGTGCTCATAGGTCTTCAACTGTACACCATAATGCTTGAATGCAGCATTAGTTACTGCCACATTGGACGAATCCACTTGAGTTGAGGAAATCTGTGGAATGACAGAAAAGGAGAGAAGTTCTAGATGTCAAAAGTTTCATGTTCAAATAAACAATACTCTAAAGTAATGTATTTCCCTGTAATACAATCAGATTAATTATAGATATATTTGTAATGTTATGAGTCGACGTTCATGTTTTAGATGATTCATTAGTATCAAATTTCTTTTTTGCTTTGTAATTATGATTTATTGCGCTTAAGCTACAAATCATAGTGCCGGTAGTTTAAAAAGGCAACATGTCCTGTTCTGCATATCCAGAGAAGAAGGAACAAAGGGCTACAGACAGCTGTAATGAGAACACGTGGCCTGGAGCGAGCTGGAACACACACAAACACACACACACACACAAACACACACACAGCCGCCTGTAACATGAGGTCTGCACAACACACACTCCTGCTAACACCCTCAAACATAACTAATGTTAAGTAAAGTGTGTCAGCTGCAGAAAGTTTTCGGCTTATAGAAATAAGGTTAATAATAGAAATGAAGCTCAGGGTGTGGAGACATGTCCCATATATACTGACTTAGGCCTGGGTCAACATTTAGGAAGTCAATGATTAAGCCTGCTAACTTTTCTGAATCCGATTAAACAGGATCCCAAACAAGCCCACTTAGCCTAGCACAGGTGGGAAGTAACAATGTACATTTACTCAAGTTCTGTACAATTGTGAGATACTTGTACTTTACTTGAGTATTTCCATTGTATGCTACTGTGTACTTCTACCCCACTACAGTTCAGAGGTAAATGGTGTACTTTGACTCCACTACATGTATTTAATAGCTTTAGTTACTTCACAGATGTGGATGAATGATGTGAAATCTAATCAAGTGTTAAATCAGACTTTAGTTCCACCTGGAGTAAATCCACAAGCTACCCTGCAGTATACAAAGTCATTCAAACTAGCTGCAACTTCACCAGCTTTGAGAACACTTTAATGATCAATCATTATAAAACATATATATTATTCTGAAATGGACCAATCTGCACAATGACTACTTTTACTGTCGCTACTTTCACTATATTTTGATGAGAATACTTTTCTACTTTTACTTGAGTAACATTCTGAATGCAGGACTTTTACTGTAACAGAGTATTCCTACACTCTTGTACTTTTACTCAAGTACAAGATCTGAGTACTCCATCTCTACAGTTAAGTATTTCTACTTTTACTCCACTATGAAACCTCTTCCACCTCTGCTCTTTTAATAGCCTTCAATTTGAACTGTGAAATTCTTCATGCCTGATTTTCCCATTTAAAAAAAGCAAGAAGAAACAGCCAGTCTTTTCTTTGTCTATTTTCTCAGAGCAAACCATGTCCAGATGTTGAGATTGTGTGACTCTCCACTGTGGATCTTTTTCCTAACGAGCCAACATATGACATCAATACTAAATGTGGAACCCACGTGACAAAAATGGGTGGTAATATTACCGCAACGTGAGCTCGGTTTGGGCGGGGGGTGGCGGGGGTTCACCGTCGGTTCAGACCGGGTCCGGGTGCATGCAGCCTGCGGAGGGGATAAACCGGACCGTCATCCCGTCCTATTGTCCCTGTCATTGTGTCCGTGAAACACATGGATGTACTGGTGTAACACTGCCAGCACTTTCTCTGGCTGCAGACATTATGCAATGATGTGGCAATAACACAGGGTGTGTTCTCCCCTTTTAAGTTAAAATACAACAGGTGTGGGATATTATACATACTACTGCCTGCTACTTGTACATCCCAACGAGAATATGTATATTATGTAATTGCATTGTTATTCACCACTGCAATCAACAAGCTAGCAGACGGTATTTGCAATGCTACACTTATTTGATTCTATAAATACTGCTTACTTACTTTCCCTGAATGCATACTTTTATTGTATTTCAAATATGCATTACTTGCACTATAATTGCTGTTGCACTGTTGGAGAAGCCTTTGACCTACGATTTTCATTGTCATAACTACACTGTATGCAAATGACAATAAAAGCATTGCATCTTGAATACCTAATTTTGTAATTGTGTGTTGTACTATTCGTCTGTCTATACTGCTGTAACAGTGTGCATTTCCCCTTTGTGTAACGAATAAAGGACTGTGGTATTGAAGGTGATGGCTGTGTAACATGCTGGTACAATGTAACCCATTCACTGTTGACATCCTGGCCGAGATTCCTCATGACACAGCCGGCTGCAGAAGCTCTATCTACGCCCTGAAAAGTCCTCCAACGTGAGGAGACTTTACAGTACAGAACAATGAATTAAAATAACTAACAGTCCCAAAACAACACGGCTTTGATAACGTCAGTGCCACATTTAGTAGGATTACAACACTGTGTCGCAATCCAATAGGCCTACGTGCCACAATACTGATAATACATGTTGCATTTAAAGGCCATTATGCCTATTTTAATAGATAATATACATGCGATAAATACAGTACAGTAATAACCGGGATACTACACATTAGCTCGATTAACTTGAGCTTGGTTTGACGTGTAGTGTGAATATCAACGTGGCCATTTCTGAATTTAAAGTACGCAAGAAATAAAAAATTAAGCTAGTTTGAGCGTCGCTGTGATTCTCCACGTTTTACCCAACACGTAAACACAACACCATCCCGTAGAAAGCTGGAAGTAAGAACAAGGTTGCGTTCATGTTCACCCTTTAAATAAAGACTTTTTTTGTTACCTTGGTTGGAGTCTGGTCAGTTGTCAGGAGCAGTGAAGTGTACGTTCTCCATCTGGTAAAATACAATGTCGATGAAATCCTACAAGTTGTGAAGTACCTGGCTCTCCTCCCTGGGCTTTTCCCTCTCAAGGTGGCTACTGACTCACATGTATCTGTGTTAGTAGGTCAGTCGTTAAGTGCATTGGCAGCGTGAGATTGAGTGACAGCGACTGCAGCCAATCAGAATGCAGCATGTTCAGACATCAGCCAATGACTGTCGGCTTCAACAGAAGTCGCGAATAAAATGTCCGTCGTCATCTATAAAGTGGTGGGGCTTTTAAGTGCGTCAGTTTATCACACATTACAAGGTATTTCACGATTACGAAATATAATAGATATTTAATGGTTATACACTAGCCTACTTACAGATAATAAGCACCTTTCTACACAAGGTTGCAAAGTGTCTTAATTATGCAAATGTTTAATTTATTTACAGTAAATCTGTAGTTAGATACAGTAATCTAGTCAGATTGTTTATGAAGTCAGCCAAATGTATTATTGTCAGCGGTGGGAAGTAACTAAGTACTACTTTTCAAACTGTACTTAAGTACTACTTTTATGCTACTTTGTACTTCTACTCCACTACAATTCAGAGGTAAATCTTGTACTTTTACTCCAGTACATTTATGTAATACCTTTAGTTACTTTACAGATTTAGATGAATGATGTGAAATATAATCAAGTGTTAAATCAGACTTT